GTGCCTGGAACGGGTGGGGCAGCAGGTTTCCAGGTGGGGCGGCGGTTGTCAGGTCTGGGGCGGCGGTTTTCAGGTGGGGAAGCTGTTAAGGCGGCGGTTCTGTGCGGTTCTGAGGGGGATTTCAGGTCTGGGGGCCGGTTACGACGGTGGGCTGCACGTGCGCGCGGCTACGACGTACTAGCGCGGAGCTGCGGGTGCGACTAAGGCTGCGCGCGCAGCTACGTGCGTTCGTCTGATGCGCGCTAGAGGACTGGGGGGCAACACGCGGGGTAAAACGAGTGGGGCGCGGGGCTAAAAACCGAGTGACGCACGGCAAAAACGGGTGGGGCGCAGGGCAGAAACGGGTGACGCGCGATGTCGACGGGGGGCGCGACCTACTCGGGCTCTACGGGGCAGGGCGCTTCGGGCTATGGGTCGCTACGAGGCGCGCGGGTGGTGGGCCCATAGACTATCGAGAGAAATTTCGCCTAAGGGAAAAATCGCCTAGGGGAAAAATCGCCTAAGGGAAACCTAGCTCTATACCATGTTACGATAAGAATGAATTGATAGAAAATGTGAAGTACAACCCTAGATATAGCAAACCCTAATCATGCAAGTAGAAATGTAACACCTAGACTAACCTAAACAACACATATAAAGTATATGTTGACAGTCGTCAACGACCACCAGAAAGTAACGCTCCCTCCCAGACCCCTGCATCGGGGCAGGGCCCCAGACGTCCAAGTGGAGAGTCTCGAAGGGAGCGGTGGCCGGACGAAGGGAGGAGGAGTGGGGAGAGGCGCGTAAGCGACCGGCGACGCACGGAGAGCAAGGAGGGGCAAGCGAGAGAGGGAGCGACGGGAAGGTGCGTGGGAGACCTGAGACAAGTCCCTGACTGAGCATGCCACGTAGGCGAGCGAGCGACGGGTGGCCAAGGCGGTGGTGCCACAGGACGGTGCGGTGGGTGAGAGAGCGACAGGAGCAAGACGCCGCGACTGGACTGGGCACAGCGACCGGACCGGACACTACTACCTGGCTAGACACAGCAACTGGACTGGGGACCTGGGCTGGAGGGGACGCAACGACCTGAGGGGAGGACGCGACCGGGGAGCGCTCGGTGTGGAGAACGTAGAGACCGGAGCGGGGCTCCCTGGTGAACGTGGCCAGAACAGCACCTGTGGTAGCGTCTGTACAGACTGCAGTCCGCCCACCCCCCACGAAGGTAACTGTGATCCCCCTGTCCTGGAGGTATCCAACACCCACCAAGTTCCGAGTGAACGAGGGGATGTGGAGGCCGCGCAGGACACCAGAGGGGACCACAGGGCACGGGAGGGTGGTGGAGCTACGCGCAACGGCTGGTCCAGAGGTAGGATCAGCCAGAGCCACCGACACAGGTGTGAGGAGTGGTGTAAGGGTCGTGTGGTCGCGGAAGAAGCACTGAGACGCGCCCGAGTTCAGCGTGAACGACAGAGAGGCCTCAGCCGGCGGGTCACCTGACCCAGTCGCTACACAAGCACCTAGAGCAGCAACACAAGCACCTAAGCTAGACAGGCACAAGGCTACACTAGCAGGAGGCAAGCAGGCTAACCTACGAACACGCGAGCACACAGATCCATCAGCACTAAAGTCAGCATCAACATACAAAGCATGCTGACGCGCATCGTCCATGGACAAATCAAAGACATCAATCTTACGGGCTAACAGACGAGACCAGCGAGGCGTGACCGCCAGAGGGCCCCAACGAGCCCGGTAGAGGTCGTCGAGGCGGCGGAAGCACCGCGCGGCAGAGTGGTCGTCGCGACCACAGAGACAGGGGCTCCCCAGCCCGGTGACGCACCAGTGGGTGCACGGGCCAGCGTCACGGCGAGGGGGGCGAGGGGCCCAGCTGGAAGTACTGCTGCTGCGGCTGGTGCTCCCAGGGCCGCCCGGACCCCACTGCGGCGGGGGACCCCAGTGCTGCTGCGGACCCCACTGCAGCGGGGGCCCCCACTGCTGGGGTGCCTGCTGCTGCTGCGGTCCCTGCTGCTGCTGCTGTCCCTGCTGTGGCGGGTGCTGCTGTGGGTACCGCTGTGGCTGCTGCTGCTGTGGGCCTCCACCAGTGGGAGGGCCCGGCTGGCTGACGCCCGCTCCAGGGCCCCCTCCTCCCGGTGCACCACCGCCGCCGCTGCCACCTCCACCCCCGCCGCTCCCACCTCCACCGCCTCCTCCACCGCCCCCTCCACCGCCGCCGCCTCCGCCCCCACCCCCCCCCTTCCCGCCCTTCTAGCCGCTCTTGCCCCGTTTCTGCCAGTCTGCGGCAGAAACGGCAGCAGTGTCCTCAGAGACCGACACAGCAGCAGAGGCGCGGGTAGCGGTGAAAGTGGGAAGCTGAGGGGCGGCACACCCCGCAAAGAGACGGGGGGCCACCGCATCAGTGGCGGAGGCAACGGTGAGGAGACTGCTCTCGATGGTCCCTAGAGCAGTCGCTAGGAGGTCGATAGTGAGCTCAGTGGGGTGCTTCTGAAGAAGCGCGTCGCGGGCAGTGGCAAGGCGGTCAGGGAGGCGGGTGACTAACCAGTGAACAGTGAGCCACATGGGGGGGGGAGCAACTAGAAGCTGTGCGTCGGTACAGGCAGCGCGGAAACCGGCGTCAAGCGAGCGGAGGTGAGTCACTAGGTCGGAAACAGTCGCAAACGAGCCTAGGTCGGGAAACACAAACGGCATGAGGAGGCGACTGAGGGAGGCAGAGGAGGGGGTGGAGTAGCGAGCAACAATAGCCTCCCAAACCCCCTGTGCAGTCTCCACCTGGTCAAAGTGGGCGGCCTCAGTCGGGGGGAGAAGCTCCGACAGAGTGAGAGCGGCGGCTGCGTCACGCGAGAGCCACACGTCCCTGGCCAGGACCCGACGGTCGTAGTCCGCCTGTGCCGTAGGGGTCGGCTCCGAGGTGGTCGGCAGGGCGGCGGGGGACGGGGGGGCCTGTAGGGCACCAGACGCGTGAGCCCACAGAGTGGCGCCGTCCTGTCGCTGGCTGGTGAGGAAGCGTGTGGTCTGGCGCTGCCAGGTACCGAACTCGATTGGGCGTCCCTCCGCATCGAAACGGAGGCGGCGGGCCTCCATAGCGGAGCCCATGCTAGAGGCGGCTGGAGCACGGCGGAGGCGGAGCTAAGAACGAGGAGGAAAACTACGGAGCGCCAGGAGAGAAAGCGGCGGAGCGAGAGACTAGGAGTACCGAGCGACCTAGACTAGGCGTGAAATCGTGGATCGCCAGCTACAGGTGCGAGGAGCAAGGTATGAGCGGCTAAAACGGCTCTAACCTAGGTGACCGGCGAGAGAGAGCGGCTGCCAGCCGCTGAGGGATAGACCAGTGTCAGCAGAGCTGGGGAGGGCCCCGCGCACAAGGCGGTGGTGGGGCTAAGGTGATGAACAGTGAGAGAGGGGCGGGGAGGCCGAATGCGACGGTGAAAATGGGCGGGAGGAGGATCTGACGGTGGGAAATGGGCGGGGAGGGGAGGTTGACGCGACGGGCAAGGGAGGGCGACGGGATTGGGAGGGGAGGGCGACGCGACGGGCAGGGGGAAGGGAGGCGACGCGACGGGCAGGGGAAGGGGAGGCGAACGCGACGGGCAGGAGGAGGGGAGGCGACGCGACGGGCAGGGGGACGGGAGGCGACGCGACGGGCAGGGGGACGGGAGGCGAACGCGACGGGCAGGAGGAGGGGAGGCGACACGACGGGCAGGGGGACGGGAGGCGACGCGACGGGCAGGAGGACGGGAGGCGAACGCGACGGGCAGGAGGAGGGGAGGCGACGCGACGGGGAGGGGAAGGGGAGGGGTGGCGACGCGACGGGGAGGGGGAGGGCGCGACGGGCAGGGGGAGGGCGCGACGGGCAGGGGGAGGGCGCGACGGTCAGGGGGGAGGGCGCGACGGGCAGGGGGAGGGCGTGGAGGGCGCGGAGGGTACTAACGTGCGGAGGGCGCTGAGGGCACGAACGTGCGGAGGGCGCGGAGGGCACGGAGGGGCGGGCCGAGGGGCGCACTAAGGGGCGCGACGTGGGGCGGGCTGAGGGCCGCGCTAAGGGGCGCGAGGGCGCTAGGAGCGCGGAGGGCGCGGAGGGCGCTAGGCGTGACGGAGGGCGCGGAGGGCGCTAGGCGCTACGGAGGGCGCGAGGGCGCGGAACGGAGGGCGCGCCGGCTAGGGCGGGGAGGGAGGATCGATACCTACTCGTGATACCATCTCAGAATCTACATGCAACGGAATGTTTGGGATTAGGGTTTGCAAGCATACAAATAGGAGTCCTACAAATGTTGTACCCTCTAGGAAGTGCCTCACTGCAGCCTATCACAACATTAACATTTGACACTTGTCATGTTCACCGCACTAAACCGTTGGCTTTTCTCAAACGATTCCTCAGATACTCCCACGTACCTGCAAAAAGGAAGGCGACGCAAGACGCGCAGTGACGAACTTTTATCTTGATTCTGTGAGGATAACCACGTGTCGACCGCCAAATGGGTGCGCTGTGGTGAAGGGGATGTGGTCCTGTGAGCTTCCCGCCAAGATAAGTGATGATATCGTACCCATCTGTGGGTGCATATCCCCCATGTCCCAGTGTCATTATTCGTTACGAATCCTTCAGTCGTTATTTGCAAAATATATAAATGGCCAATATACAATATTTTTGTGCGTATACAGGTAAGAACGCCCCGCATTTTTTTTAAGACTCTAAAATGTGAAGTGAAAATTGTTTGTTGTGGGTATGTGCACAAAGTGGCTGTTCCTTTCTCCGTTTTTCTCCCTCCAGCCAAGAGTGTTCGCTCATTATCACAATCATGGAACGTGGTAAAGGAATGTCTTTTGGTGCAAAGAGTGCAAAGACTCCAGCCAGCATTGGAACGAAAAAAATGGTGGTGCTTGTTCTGTTACCCAGCATTGTAAATCTCCATAATGCACTAGTTTGCATTACCCTACACTTACGGTACTCCTGTACCATCATGAGAGCTTGGTAAGGTAGCGTGCAATATCAGGGTCGTCCAGAGGAACATCTAGGTCCCCTCTCGAATGAGGAACAGCTGCTTCACAAAGAGAGGCGGCTCCTCCGCCTTCACTCGACTCAATGCAGCCTCGAACTGTTCTTTTGTGCCGAATTTCTCTGAAGAGTGTGTAAGGGAGGCAACCGGGGGGTGTGGGCAAAAAGGAGTGGAAATTGTTTTGCAAAGAGAGGCGGCTCCTCCACCTTCACTCTGGTTAACGCTGCCTCCAGCTTCTCCTCTGTTCCGAAATTCTCTGGAGTCCGGGGGGGGGAAGCAAAGGAGAGTGTGGGCAGAAAGGAGTGGAAAGTATTTTCACAAGAGAGGAGCGGCTCATCCACGTTCACTCGACTCAATGCCGCTTCCCACTGCTCCTTGCTGCCGAATTTCTCTGGAGGGCGGAGACAGGGGGGAAGGGGGACATGTGCCAACACCAAAGAGGCGGTTCGTCCGCCTTCACTCGACTCAATGCCGCCTGCCACTGCTCCTTGCTACCGAGTTTCTCTGGAGGGCGGAGACAGGGGGGAAGGGACACATAGGGCAACACCAAGAGAGGCAGCTCGTCCGCCACTCAGCGCTGCATCTCACTGCCCCTTGCTGCCAAATTTCTCTGGGGAGCGGGGAGGAGAGGAATCTTGGGGTGGGGGAGGAAAGGAATAGGAGGGTGGGGAATGAGAGGGAATGAGAGGGAATGAGAGGGAATGAGAGGGAGTGAGAGGGAATGAGAGGGAATGAGAGAGAGTGAGAGGGAATGAGAGGGAACGGGATGGAATGGATGAAAACGAGAGGGAATGAAGGAATGAGAACTCTGCACCACTGCACAAACCACCCATGGGAGGAAATTGGGGGAATGAAAAGACAGGATTCTAAGCAAAAGGGGGTGGGCGGTGGGGAAACAGTGGGGAACGCATATGTATGCGGGGAGGCTTAGGGAAAAAGGAAGACGGGGAAAGGGGAGGGGAAGTCAGCGAGGGACTGCATATGAAGAGAGGACTACCTTAAGAGTAACAGATGAACTTTTAAGAAATGTTAGGAGTGCCTTGTTTTGAGGCGCCTCAAAACTAGACTGCATCATACGAAGAGAGCACATGTAACAGATGAACTTTTGAAAAATGTTAGGAGTACCTTGCACGCGGTCGAGCGCTCTGGCAACAGCAGGGTCGAGGCGAGGCAGTGTGGGGAGCACACCCGTGGCGAGCACCTCGGGAGTGAGTTCTACCTCTGCGCTGCTGTGGCGTGCACCCGATGCCATGCTTCCGCTGCTGGTAGCGGGGTAGAAGGTGAAGGGAAAAGGGAGGATTAAGGCTTTGAGGGAAGCACGCCGGTGGCAAGAACCTCTGGTGTTAGCTGAACTTCGGTGCCTGTGCCATGCTTTCCCTGCTGGTGGGAGAGAAAGGATGAAAGGAAGAGGGAGCACTGAGGCAGCGTGGGAAGCACGCCCGTCGCGGGCACTTCTGTGCTTCTGTGCGGTGCACTCGATGCTATGCTTCCCCTGCTGGTAGAAAGTAAGAAGGTCGGGAAGACGGAGGATGATCATCGAGGCAGCGTGGGAAGCACGCCCGTGGCGAGAACCTCCTGGTTTAGTTCCACTTCTGTGCTGCTGCGTGCTGCTGCGGATGCCATGTTGCTGGAGGGGGAGAGGAGAAGGGGAAGGAGGAGGAAAGAACGTGGGGAGCACACCCCTGGCTAGAATTTTGAACAGTCTAGTCCAACCAACCTCAAACTCTTGTAAAAGAAAGTCGAACTCTCATATGGCGCTTCTCATTTTCGAGTCAGACTCAAAATCGGCTCAGCTCTCATGTGACGCTGCGAGCAATGGCTGGAGGGAGTCGGATAGGAGGTTGCCTAGTAGCTGCATAGCGTTCTGACGCTTTCAGCCCACCCGCGCAAGGGATTACTGCAAACTCTAGCTCAATCTAGAAAGATTTCGAATGAATGGAAAGACGATACGAATAGAAATGTTTCCCTGTGTGATTCCGTTTCCTCGTGAATGGACGTCTATCATACCACGGACCGAGCCTTACCAAAGCTGATGACTTGTCCACTCGAGACAGAGCCGGGACCAGGACAGGTTCGCCTGATGCGCCAGTGAATAATGGGGAGTAAGAGCGCGGCGCGAGAGTGAAAGAGGTGGTGGAAGTGGGGATGGTGGACGTGTGTACGCATGATAAGAGATTGTTTCTTATATCAAGGTTCTGTACAATAATTTTAAACATACCGAATGTGGAATTTTGCTTCAAGGTTTCCTTCCTGTCATGGATGACCTGACCAACATTTAGAAGGTAAAAACACGGTGCAGAATTCTGCATGACGATGTAATTAAAGGTTATTATCTCACGCATAATATGCACGAACATGACTACTGGTCCAGTCCAGTCTCTGCAACCCATTTGAACGGAAATGAATCATTTCACACGATCCTAAGACAATTCGTCAGTACAAACCTCACTAAGAACCAACCTTAGTAGGGCCATCGGCCAAAGCTGTATCAAACAAAAAGCTTACTGATAGTGCCATCATTGCACCTGCCCTGCCTCCTCCTTGCCCCACAAGAGCTGCTGATTTCGACAAGCCACAAGAAGCAGAGTGGTACCATACGTACCAGCCCTCCCACAAACGCAACCCCTCTGTCCCATCCCCCACCTACCACCCCCCCTTCCCCCCTAGCACAACCAAATCACCATCCTGTGGCTGCTCAGATCTGCATATGCAACAATCACAACCGCATCTGTCACATCTGCCACAGTCACTCCCCTCCCCGTCCTCATTGCCCCCCAGGCGGAGGCGGCATGCCTGGGCGCGGGGGGCCGTACATCCCCGGATGCCCCCCTGGCGGAGGGGGCATGCCAGGCCTTGGCGGACCCATCATCCCTGGCGGAGGCATTCCCCCCGGCGGGGGCATTCCCCGCCCGTACTGCATGGGCGGCGCACCGCCTGGCGGAGGCCCGCGCGGGGGGAATTGCGGAGGGGGGCCGCCAGGGGGACCGTAACCTGCGGGCGGGGGAGGCATGCCCGGGCGCGGGGGACCCTGGGAGTACATGGACGGGGGCGGGCCCATCCCTGGCGGGCGCATTCCCCCTGGCGGCGGCGGCATCCCCGGCCGCGGAGGCGCTCCCCCAGGGAAACCCGCGGGCGGGGGGAACGAGACGGGAGGCGGACGGCCAGGCGCAGCGCCGGCTGCACCGCCAGGAGCCTGGTACGAGATCGGCGGGGCCGCCACTTGCGGGCGCGGCTGCATCAGCGACGGCGCCGGTCCGCCGACTCCGCGCGCGGGTCCCGCCAAACCAGGCTGCGCTTGACCGAGCGGAACCGTCGGAACTCCGCGCCCTGCCGCGCGCCCAACACCGGGTCCCCCTGCCGCTGCGCCGGCGGCTCTCCCGCGGGACTCATCCTGCGGCGGCGGTCCTTCAACGGTAAGACTAACTACCTCCTCCCCGCGGAGAATAAGGAGGCCTAATGTGCGGCGCTCCTCGCGGTCTTCCGGAGCCTTGGAGCCCTTTTTGGGCGGCAGCTTGCGGAACTCCTCGCAGTCCCCCAGGACGAGGTTCATGTGGCGATCGTAGGCCATGAATTTCCCGACGAGCTCGCGGCCATCGGTGACGGTGACGCGCATGCGGTAGTTGATGTACTGTAGCAGCTTAGATCCCTTGGACATCGACATGGCGCCCCGATTTTAAGCGCCGTCGACGGAGGGAAAGATGATTAGTTATCAAAAGGACGAACTGTCAGATCATACGTACTGGAGTTATGAAGACACGACTGAAGGGACGAGGGGCAAGTACTAGCGGGACTGACGGGAACGGAGGCACCAAAAAAATTGTCGAGCTTTAGGGTTGAGCCTCTCTTTAGATCAGAAGCGGGACAGACATTTGCTGGTCGGACAGTGTAACAAGTTTGAAGTGTGTGAGGAATATAAAATGCATGTTGCTATCCTATCCCCACCAGGACTAATTTATCAGTGTAATTCACCCTGATACACTGATTACCAGGGTGGTTTTTGATAGTCACACTGATGTCTTAGGGTAATTTTTTTTAGAGCTTAGTTTTCCCTGATATGCCAGGGTTTACGTTTAAGGCACACTGTGACCCCAGGGTTACCATTCTTCTTAGCGAGTTTTACCCTGACGCTAGTACCACCCCCCTCCCCCCCCCCCCCCCATCCCCCCCCCCTCCCCCCCCCCCCCCCCCTTCCCGTAACCCGGGAATCCGTTGGCCAACTGTCAAAACCAAAATTTCCGCCCAGACAATACATGCGTTGGCACGAACTGGGCCCCTACTGGCCAGAATTACATTTACGTAATACTCAAGGCCAATGACTCAACCCGGTTTTGTTGTCTGACATGCCAACACGACCGGGTTTGCTGGACACCTGGCATAGTGCAGCATAATGTCGGCGCCCACTAGCCCACTGGGCACCACGTTCCTAGCAATGATGTGGGTGGCTTCGACGTTCGTTTGCCTTCAGGATAGGAAACATCTGCGGTGGGGAATGGGGGCACCAGCACGGTTGTGTGTTGGAAACAATCAATCTTAAAGCGCCTCTGTCGTGTCGAAACACTAAGGCACAAACAAGGCGAAGCATATCGAAGCACCGGCGAGTCAACCCTCGGAGGTTGAAAGTAACTGTTGGAGGTTACGCGAAAGTCAAAGGTCAGCGACCTTTGACCTGACAAAGTACAGCGCGACAGCAAGGACACACAACTGACTCGCTACAGAGCAGTTGCCCGAGTCGTCACTGTATCGAACCGCAACAGCAACAGTAAAACAGTTATAACTGTACCCCTTCATATTCCCTGTACTCTTATATAATCTTGTATCCCTCTGTTTATAATCAATCAACTTTGCCCTCACATACTAGCGCAAGGTGGTTCACAACTCTTCATTAAACGCTTCCGCTATTACATCAGTCCTTCCCAGAGTTCACCCCTGCAAAGATCCTAAGGGCTATTTTCTCAGCCCAACATGGTATGAGAGCAGTCAGGGAGAATTCAACTTCCATTAAGATACCGACAACATCAACAGGCATGGCTACACAAAAGGAAAGGAGCTCCTCCAACGGCTCCCAGGGCACTACTCCTACTCCACCTCCTGCCTCTGGCCTACAGACAGAGGAGGGTACGGCAACAAGACCAAGAGCAACGTCTACTGAGACTCCTGCGAATCAACCTGCAGGCTTCGACCAGAGCATGATGGAGAAGTTTTTTCTCCTTCATGTCCTTCTAAAAGCAACACCAGCAATCGGCACCTGCGCAGTCACACAATAGCAACAACAACGGAGCAACTCCCATGAGTCTCGACGGCTCATCATATGCACGAGGAAATCAACAGCAGCAGCCCACCTTTGCTCCGTACGAGCGCGGGTCCATCAGCTTTATGCCACACCCGCAGCCTTCACCTGGACAAGAAAGGTCACTGGACGCATTACAAGTTCAGTCGCAGTTCGCGCACGTTCTGAAGCTGCAGACGTCAAGACCTTTCGACGGAAATGACTTCTTTACCTGGTCATTCGAGTTCGAGCTGATGATGGAAGGCGCGTCCCTGCCATACCCAACAAACGGCACACAGTATGAGAAGCAGCAGTACACCTATCAGTCGATGATGGCGTACACGATTCTACTGAGAAACATCACCCCGACTCAACAGCAGAATATACGGTCTTACCGGGGTTACGACAACTCCGCGGAGCTCGCATACAACCACTTGAAGAGCCTGTATCAAGCAACAGACAGCGTAAATCAAAGTCGGTTAATGGCGCAACTGACAACGGTCGAAATGAAACCAGGCGAGAAAGGAATGCCGTATATCAGCCGATGTCGCGAGTTGCGCGACAAGCTTCTTCGATGCGGAGGGTCGATTTCTGAAGACGCCTTCGTAACAGTCATCATTGGCGGCCTCGGTCCTCAATGGCGTGCCACAAAGGCCATTCTCCGAGCCCACGGAAGAATCTCCGAAGCAGCACTCTGCGCCGAAATCCATGCCGAGCAACAAGACATGGACCTGCAAGAAGAACGACACAAGAAGAAGACATCAGCACCGGAATTTGCATTCCACACTCAGCGACGCTACAACAACAACAAACAACAACAACCGAAGCCCGTACCTCCGTTCTGCCACATCTGCAAGATGTCAGGGCACCCGCGCACGCACTGCCCGAATCGACAACAGTCAACGCCTTCACAGCGGCAGCTTCGACCTTCAAGCAATCAAGTCGCCTCAACACAAGCAAATCCTACGACCCAGATTAAAGCCTCAACGACCTCAACAGGACAACCTGCACAAGGAGCAAGGAACATCGTCAGTTGCATGGCAAGACTGAGCGACTCTTGCATCACGGGATCACCACCGTACTACTCACTGGAAGAACAACTCGACGACACCACAACTCACCGCGATTCACTCCAGCCGAATCCGACATACGCAGCCATCGCCCAAAGCGAGCCATCCGGAAAGGACACGTGGTTCTTGGACAGTTGCTGCGGACAACACATGTGTTCTTCAGGACGCTTCGTGCAACGAGAGAACCAACTCCAACGCGAAGTAGTCATCACCGTCGCCAACAACGAAAGCCTGCGCACACGACGACAAGGAATCGTTCAACTTCAGTCACGAGAGACAAATGTCATACTACAAATGTCCAAGGTCTTAATCGCAGAAGGCCTCGGCTACAACTTACTCAGCGTTAGCCAACTGATGGCTAAAGGTATCCACCTTGAAGCCTCAGGAGTTCAAGCTGTACCACGGGAAGGGCGGTCTCTACATCGGAAAGGCGATCCTGAAAAATAACGTCTTCGTTTTTTATTTTGTTCCAGATCTCGGCACAGCAGACAGCGACGGCATCGTCACCTTCACTTCCTGGACCCACCCTCCAGACCTTGATCCAGACTTCAGCCCCGGCGGCTTCTGGTATTCACGCACCATCCCTGAGGCAGAAAGAACAAGGGCGTTAGCAACAATTCAAACAACATCGGCAGCAGCAGAGACAACATCGGCAGCAGCAGAGACAACATCGGCAGCAGCAGAGACAACATCGGCAGCAGCAGAGACAACATCGGCAGCAGCAGAGACAACATCGGCAGCAGCAGGAACGTCAACGCCAGTCGCTGGTCCTTCAACGGCACCACTCCTCGTCGACGACCCACCACCGACACCCGCGCAACAACTACACCCAGCACCACGTGAAGTTCATCGAAGCGCCAACTTCACCGCCAGCTTCTATTCCAACTCCGATATGTATCGGCGCTCACCCGGACATCGCGCCACCGAAGGAACCTGGCACGCAAGAATGGGACATCCAAGCAACACGGTGTTAAACAACACGATAAGAGCAGGCGTACTCGATAAAGACTCTCTACTCCTAACTGACGGCAGAGAACTTCAGCGAGCTCGAGGAACATGCTTCACCTGTCCCGAAGCTGACTTACCACATCAACCGTTCGCGTCTCACCACAACCCAAGCGCACCAGCTTACACGCCACTCGAGAAGGTGTATAGCGACATCTTGTACAACCGCGAGCCTGGACAAAACGCGTACAACTACACCATCACCTTCATCGACGCCGCCACACGATACGTCTGGCATCTAAACCTTCCGAGCAAAGACATGGCCTTCGAAGCCTTCGTCGCGTGGCTCCCAGTAGCAGAGCGAGAATCGGGCGTCAAACTGAAGAGCTTCCAGTCAGACGGGGGAGGAGAATACACCTCACAGAGGTTCAAGCAGTACTTGGCTGAAAGGGGAATCAAGCGGCTCATCTCCCTTCCCTACGCCCATCAACAGCAAGGTGTAGCAGAAAGAATGAACAGGACCCTCCAGAACACCATGCGCAAGCTGCTACGTGGCATGCACCTGCCCAACCACCAGTGGCCCGAAGCAATGGACCACGCCGTCATGCTGCACAACTTGCTCTCGTCATCATCTCTCCCGAACAACGCATCACCGCACCTGCTGTGGACAGGAAAGCAGGGCAGCACAAAAATGTTAAGAGTCTTCGGCTGCATGGTACTGTACCGGCCCCCATCTGCACGAGCCGGCCGATTCTCCCAACGCGCACAGTGGGGACTACACCTGGGCATTGAAAAGCAATACAACGCATGGAAAATTTTCGACGTCGAGACAAAAGAGACAGTGGCAGCACGTGACGTCATTTTTTACGAAAACCTCACCCTCCGGTATTACCTTGCCAACTTGCAAGAAGAAAACCCCGATCGCTCCGCTGGTTTTCAAGGCACCCGAGCCTTCGCTTCGGCAGACGACGAAGCTAACTGGGGCGAGCAGAACGTGGAAGGAGCCTCGGAAGAAGCCGGACCCCTCCCCTACTGCTCCGTCGACGTGCCAATGGACGACGAAAACCCACGCGAAAGCATCAACGCCGAAGCCTATTACCATTTCGCTGACAACGGTTACGTTACACCTGCACAAGTCAACACCGACGAAGCAGAACGCGTAGGACCTAATTTCGCACCTGATCCAGAAGCGGGAGACGAAGCAGTTTATCCCGAGGACACTTCACTCCCCCGCTACACACAGAGTGGACTCCAAATCCTTGGTCTCGTCACCGCAGTTCACGGCGCAGCCATTCCTAAAGATCCTGCGACAGTTCAACAGGCTCTGGGGGGGGAACATAAGGAAAAATGGCGCGAAGCCATGGACAGGGAGCTAAAGGC